CAACACAACTCAACCCAACACAACTCAACTCAACCCAACCCAACACAACCCGATGTGTTTCACAAAATGCACTGGACAGGTCATTTCAGTCTGGAGCAAAAAGAGCTGTGGGAAGCTGAGGATTTGCCTTGGAATGGGTGTGTTGGGTTCTGGTGAACCTCAGCCAGGCCACAGGTGGGGAAACTGAGGCACAGACAGGTTACTGGCCAGACAGCAAAGCCAGGAGCAGAACAGGTATGGCAGAACTGAAGTCTTAACCATTATTTTTGCTCTTCTAATAATTTCACATGTCTCTGGGGGAATAATAGATAATCACAGCACTAATAAATATTGCCTCTAGAGAAGCTGAGCCACTGCCCCAGACTCAAGACATCCCCACAGCTCCCATCTGGGCAGCAGATTTCCTGCTGGGAGGAAGCTTTGCAGCTGGGACGAGCAGATCTCTGCCAAAACAGCTCGACCCTTTATGGGTTCACCTCCCCTGATGTTGGTTATCGTGTTTCTGCAGATGGTACCCTGGGTCTCAGCCTTGGAAAACACCACATCCACACTCCTCCTCTGCTCCAGTGTGAGTCCCAGCCAGGAGACCCCAGCCAAAGCACTGGGATGGATGGGTCACCCTACACCCAGGGAGCTGAGGAAGACTTTTTCATGCTCATCACCTCCCCACATCCCTTCACCTCAAGCTCTTCCCAAGGAGGAATTTTCCCCTGGGTTATCCTCAGCTTATCCTGATCCTTCAGCCCTCTGCAGAGACCTGCCCTGAGCGTGTCCCACGCACTGCCATGGGCTGTCCCCAAGCACATCCCACGCCCCAAGCACGTCAACAGCAGTGCCATGGGCTGTCCCCAGGCATGGACAGAGCAGCAGGAGAACAAAGCCAGCCAGAGGGGACAGCTGGGCTGCAGCACGGGCCATTGGCACCCGCTTCCACCGGGAGATATCCAACACCAAGAGCCCTTCCAGCTGATGGTAACAGGATAAGCCGTAAAACATGTGCTTTGATTTTGGATCTAGACAACACAGCAAATAACCAATCATTCCAAACGGTTTGCAGATTCAGACTTTTTGTTTTTTCTTTGATTGGGATGGCTTTGCTGACTTGCCATTCAAGGGTTTATTTGTGTTTCATACAACCAAAGCGTCCCAAGCCACAGGGAGCCGTGGGGATTCAGCTCCTGTTTTGCCTCGCTCTGTAAAAGCAATTGAAAAAAGAGGAGGATGGAAAACTGACCCTAAACAGTTCCCTTTCCAGCACGGTTCTTAAAAGGCATCCATCCAAAGCAGGTCGAAAGCACAGAGCTTAGCAGACACCTCCCTCTGTTCTGTGTTGTTGTGGGACCCCAGCGACCAGCCCCAGTGGGACATCCACGCCACATCTGCTTGAGTGCTGGTCATTGCAGAAAGAAATGCCTTTTTTTGCTGATCTTTACATACATATACACATATAGTTCATTAAAGCAATTAATCAAGCAAGTTAGAAATGAAGCAATACCTACTTGAGGCTCGGACCGAGAAGCTGGAGGGTTAATTAGTGCTGAGCTGGTCATGCCCTCCACAAGCTACAAATTAAAATGACTGGTTAGCAACAGGGTTAGAGAAACAATGGTTAACTGATAAAAGCACATTGGAGGAGAAGCGCTGTCTGTCCCAACACGGGGCAGCACCTCCTCCTATGAGCCAAGGGCCATGGAGTCCATAACACGAGGGACTGGGGTCCAACTGGGCACGTGGTGGAGTTTGGGTCAAGCAGAGAACACAGCTCACAGCCGTGCCGTGAGGGATGAGGTGATAGTTGGACCTGATGACCTGAGAGGTCTTCTCCAACCTTCATGTTTCTATGATTCTGTGAGCAGTCATGGGGGGGATGGGCTGGGGTTGGATTGGGTGGTCTTAGAAGCCATTTCCAACCTGACTGTTTCTACAATCCTATGAAGGAACATGGAGGGGATGGA